TTAGTTGACAGTAGTTGAGGCAAAGAGGCTGCGTGACACACCCAATCTGTATCTCAGTGGGAAGAAATAATTGTGTCAAGTGAAGCAAGCATCATGAACCATGTATGTGTATAGCCTAGCTGCTTAAAACGGATTAAACATGCTTAAAGGGTGTTCCTGATTAAAGCAAGTAAGCCAGAGTCTCCAATCGTCACAACTAATTCGCAAATGTATCCTTTGCAATAGTGGCAGTACTGAATTTACACTCTTGGTCTTGGTTCATTAACCGCTTGTGGTCTAAATGTGGTCCATGTCCAAATGTCAAGTCACTTTGTTGTCTGGCCCAGTCAGAGCCAACAACAAACAACTCACCAAACAAATCCCAAACACGAATCAATGAACTTAATGAACCTCATGAATGTCATGTATTTGATTTAAACCGCCAATCCTCCATCCCAAAAAGAACATACCCGCCCCTATTCACTGAGACTAAGCAGTGGGTCAGATCTGCACGGGTTAGATCGCATATGTGGTTTTTTCATGCAAACATCGAAAAAAAAAACGGAAAAAACAGAAAAATAAACAAAAAAAACAGAAAAAAGTAGAAAAACATAAACTATGTTTTTCTATTTTCAGCAACCCATTGACACACAATTGATCATGTGTGACAACAACAGAACCATTCACCGAGGATGCCGCCATGGGTGTGAGTGAGAGGCAACAGTTGACAACAAGCAAGCGTCTGAGACCACAACAGTCTGCAGAATGTTCGTGTCAGACAACGCTCACCACGAGTGTTTTTGCATATATTTCTATGTTTTTTTAGTCTATTTTTTATATATTGTTTCAGATGTTTTCATATTTTTCAGATGTTTTCATGTTTTAAGATTGTTTAAGATTTTTTAAGATTTTGCTCCTGGAAAATTGTTTTGTAATTCCGAAACCCTTTACCACGAACCCCCGGCTTGTGAGATGATTTGAGATATTTTGAGATTTGTTTAAGATTTTTTTAAAGATTTTACAGATTTAAAAAGATGGTTTTAGATTCAAAATGATTTAAAATGATTTCTAAAAGTATTTTTTCATGTGTTTTCTAAAGTATTTTTCATTTTTTACATTTATTTCATGTTTTATATTTATGTCCTGTTTATTTATTTATTTCATTGTTTTTCTATTTATTTCAGTTTTTTATATTTATTTATTTGTTTTCATTAAAAAACCATAGCTGATCTAGACCACTTGCAATCTGACCCACTGCTTAGCGTCGCTGACCTATAACCAGAACCTCTTCTTTTCCTTCCCTCCTCCTCAACCCTCTCTCTCTTCCTGAGAGCCCATCACCCGACTTAGGCACGGCCAAGGCACGGGACGCAGAACCGGCGCCATCCGCGTCTCATGGCCACTCCCTTGGGCGTACTCCCAGGGCGTTCTGCCTCGGCCGCTTTGTTCGGCGAAAGCGACCGTCGCCATCGACGCCGAGAGACCTCGACCTCGATCCGCTCCGCTCCGCTCCGTTCTCCGTTCTCCGGGCGCCCCGAGCCGCGGTCGTCCCGGGCGTCGACGTCGGCGCCCACGTCGACCAGCCGCTGCGCCGCCTCGGAGTGTCCGTTCATGGACGCGTAGTGAAGAGGCGTCCGACCTCAGGTGAGGCGTGGAGGACGAGCGGAGAAAATCCTTTTTGAAAGGTCGCATGAGGGAATCAGAGAGGCGTGCATGTTGAGTTGATCTTTTTGGGGGGTTCACGGATTTGATTTTTTGGCGGGGTTGGGTTCGCGAAGTCTGAATCGCCTTCAAACGCACAAACAAAACGATGAAAGAATCAGGAAAGGATGAATGATGAATCAACATGCAAGTTTGGATGAAATGATTTCTTGGCACATCTTTCCAACTGGCCCTTTTAGTTTCAAGGACTCACCCAACCCGACTCCGTCGTTTCTCTCGTCGCCCTGAGGCCGATCCGCTGAACCCGAAAGAGGTTCCGAGGCGCCCGGCCCCGGCTGTCCTTCGCCTCGACGGCGGCGCCGGACGCCAGAAGCCGGTCCACCGTGGCGGGGTGGCCTCGACCCGCTGCCCAATGCAGCGGGGTTGCACCTCGGCTGTGGCGGCGCCGAAGAGTCGAAAGGAGTTTGTTTTCTCAATTCATGACGAATGGGTCACTTTGTACGTTGGAACTCTGTTTTGCTTTGGAGGGATCATCTCTATCAAATTATTACGCTATTAGTGGGGCACCATGTGCAGGACTCTTGACGACGAACACTCGCACCCAGCAAATTGTCTCCATTGCACAGGCTATTGCCTTCAGTGGACTGCTGCTCGAGTTGACCCATGCACCAAACATCAAAGACTCTTCCGCGAACGTGGATAGGGTGATTGTACCGCACTGATGGCAGCTCCAAGAGCATCATAAAGAGTATTAAATAGTCTTCTTGAAAACCATTGAACACCTACCACACCGTAACTCTTACTTGTCTTAACATCTGCCGGAGTGGAGCTTTCGAGTGTCTTACGAGTGCATTGCAGATCGTGCCGTCCTCGAGCCCCCAGGGTCCCCGGCGGTCTTGATCCTGTGCGTCAACAGCGGCCTTTGCCGCCAGGAGTCGGTCCACCACCTCGCAGTGGCCCTTCCTCACCGCCAAGTGCAGTGGAGTTTGGCCTCAATTCTGCTGGAAGCCGCGCCGGCAGGGCGTATAGATGCTGTTGTCGCTCTTCAGTGGTTTGACTCATGCAAGGATGGAGCTGCATTTCACACCAAACTCTCAAGACCATGGCAAACAGCGGCAAACGAGCATCCTCTTCTTGCCTTTCTAATCTGCTGAATCGACTGGGCTTCAATCGGCTCGATCCATGCGCGCTGAAGGGAGTATGAAGACTATGAAGCTGAAACACTATCCTTTTCAATGAAAGGGCCTTAATGTGGCAGAGACTTTCGGACCCAGAAAGCCGCAAAATCGGCCAACTTCATGCAGTTTCCAAATGTTCCAAGGTTGTTCAAGGTTGACTCTGGCTCTGCTGGCTCATCTTTCCAGCTGCCAAAGCATGTCGACATTCTTCAACTAAGTTTGGGGAATACGTTTTCCAATCTTTCGCGTTCTGAACTGCGCACGCGGAAATCTGGGGCGCCCAGCCTTCCTCGTCTGTGGCTTCAATCTCAGCTCCTGAAGTCACTAGCCGCTCAACCTCCTCCCTCTCCCCGTTGAAGGCGGCGAGGTGCAGCGCGGACCGGCCTCGGACGAAGTGAGTTCGAACGTATTTCACTCTCGGTTTAGGGACCAGTGGTTGATGGCTCTGCAGTCAGAACCTCCGGATATCCAAACAACCCCCAAGCATGATCTCCGAATCCATTCCACATCTTAACTTGAGTGACTTGGACCAGCCTTGCACAAGCTCTGAGCCCATCCTTAGCCCCTTGCCGTTCTCATCAACCTCTGCACCTCGCCAGCTATATCGGAGCTGGATGAAGCTTGTTCCCTCCAACGCCCTCGACTTTGCAGAAAGACCAATCTTTAACCCTATGCCTATCGACCGTGGCCTCACAAATCAGGACTTATGCTTGATTGCCACCGGGCAGAAAAAACATCAACATCAGCAATACCATCAGCAGTAGCAAGTCCAAAACCTAAAGGAACAAGTCCAAGAAGTAGAGCATAAGATCCGCAAACTTACCAAACAATATCTTACTTATGATGAAACATTCACCTATATGAGCCGTGAAACATGGTGGAACATAATATATTTGGTACTAAACTCAAAGACACCAGTTACTTTGGGGGGGCCCATATCTCATTCAAACGATACTTTTTTTGGAAGTCGTTTCACACTATACTTTAGTAGCAAATCACCAGAAAGTCGTTGTCATCAACAAAAGTATCTTGCTTAAGTGGGGCCCTGTCTCGTCCACACGTGAAAAAACACTGACGTTGGACAAACCAATAAAGGTGGTTCCTCATATCATCAATCTGAGAGCTAAGCGGGCAACATGGGTTCAAAGGTTCAAGTGGCCACTGGTCCGGGTCAATCCAACTAACTGACTTGCAGCCAAGCTGCAGCGCACTGTGCGACCACTAAGAAGGCCCACCTGGACCTGAGTAGTTTGCGAAGCCATGACAAGCGTTAGTTGACAGTAGTTGAGGCAAAGAGGCTGCGTGACACACCCAATC